AGATGGCACCTCTGGTTTTTGTCAACGGCATTTTCGAAATATTATTAAAAGAAGCGCTGTTCGGGTTGTAGGGGGTACTTGACACTTTCGCTACTTTTACTGCTATATGTCAACCACCAGGCTAGCACCTGTGAACTCCTGGGAAGCTGCGAAGTTGAACAAGTGAGGCACCCTACTCACAGGAATTTACAGGTCTTCACAAGGTAGTTTGTACAAGCCTCATGGTACCATTTGGGCCTCCACCAAGCCGAACTGCGCCTTAATATGAATAGCGGTTGAAATGGAGTGGCGCTGAGTTGTAAATGCATCGTTTACGTAACAGTGGTTTTCTGCCCAGAGAGATATTTCAAGCTATTTGATATATGTTCAGGCTGGCAAATCGCTGGTATGCTTTGAACGTAATTATCGTACCCAACATCTTCAAGTTCAAATGGTCCCGATACCTAAAGGTGCTGTCAAAGCCTTACGCGGAGCCTTCTTGAATGCTGCCAATTTGGCTGGTATCGAATTGGTCGCAATAGATGAAAATGAGCAGGTGAGTGGGTATTTTTCTTGTATCACCTCTGTTGTTGACGTTCTCCTTATTTTCTGCAGGCTGCGAATGTGGGGCGTGTCAGGAGAAACCGGGATGGTCAGCCTGATCTCCACCAGTTGTGGAAGCTAGTAGGCGACCAGAAATGTTGGAAACTGGCTGGCGCCGCGCCAAACCCGGCCCAAGCGAACACAGCGAACGAAACTGTATTTTTTTGTTACAGTTGCGATTATCCGGGGCGAAGTAGAGAACAGTTATACCTCTGTATTGGATTCTGAGATACACTGACGCTTGTCAGGGTCACTATTTCTCTCAATTCTAGCTGGTAAAGCAGAGTGCCTGATTCGACTACCGCGTTGCTTGGCAAAAGGAAGTTACCCGGTTGTCCTCGGAGGCTATATAATATAACTGAACCTGTCATCATTATGAAACACATTTCAAAAAAATGAGCTAGTGGAAGCGCGTTCACACTTCGCGAATCGCTTCGATCGCGAAGTAAGAACGCGCTCTGAGATTTCGAGGCGGCTGCCTTTATGAGTGAGACTTCCATGGGTGAGGTAACTCAATAGAGCGGAGGTGGTGTAGTGGTGAGACAGCCAGGGCAATCGCAATTTGCCGCCCCGTCATCTTCATGCGGCGGTGCGCGGCAGCAACTTCTCATCAGTTTGTCGTCTGGAGCAGCAACTCATATGAATTCGGCGTGTCGGAGGCAAGGCAACATGACCTGTAAATCTCCTCCTGTCCTGTCTGAGTCTAACGACCCGGAAGGGTAAGGCTGCGTTCATACTTTGCGGCAGCGTACGCTAGCGTTTCCAGCGTTCGCCAGCGACAGTGACAAGGAAAGGATAGATATCGATCTAGCGTTTGCCAGCGTCACCAGCATGTCGCGGCATTTTGCAAAAGTCTTGTCACAAACCACCTGAAGTGATTCCCTTCGGAGTCATACAGGTCGCCAAGGGTAATGTTGCTACATTTTTGGCAGTTATTGTAACACAACAGATGCTAAATGCGTCATTGTTGATGCGGATGTTGTGCATAAGATTTGCGCTGCAAGTGGTGTCACGTGCGCGGCATTCGCACCAGCACCTAAACGATTCGATTCGAAAGCACTGCTTGTGCCGAATCAACTAGTTTAGAACGAGATTGAACAAATCGTAATCGCATGCCCAGCTGTGTCTCGCCTCTTGGAATACTCGCTCAGTCTTGGGGCCGATTTGTTGATAGTTACGTAGTGACCAATGAAGGAAAAATCCACTGAAATCGTCCAAAAGCCTTGTTGAGGCACTCTTCTCTTCGACAGGTTTCCGACGTGGACGAGAACTGTGTTACGAAGTGGTACTGCAAGTGCGGGCGAGAGACGAGAGGCAAAGGATGAGAGAACAGGAAGGCTTGCGAGACGCCAGATAGTCAGACACGGACACGAACGATGTTGACCTCATCTTTGGGTCGCCCACTGATAAATGCTACTATTGTGGCGCACGAGCGCCGAGTACCTGACGTAAGAGTATTTAGCGAGGGTCTCTACACACCAGATAACTTCGGAGTGTGTCTTGGAGACATTTCATTTGCAGAAGAGTTTTCATTTGCGTGTTTTGAAGCAGTGTTGGTATCAGTTCATGGGCTGCAACAATAGTAATGTCGTTAGGTGTAATAATAGTGGTGTCCTTAGTTGTAATGTACGCATGCACACATAATTCCAGCTAACCGATCTAGTAAACGAGGGATGTCCGTATTTTTTCGTCGAGTTGCCAGATGGTTCACGGCTGTTCACGCGGCAGATGAAGAATTTCCCATTACAATTTGCTAGAGAGGTACGTAACTTTGCTGTAATAGCTGAATTTGAAGCACTTTATGACGCTGTTCAGCTTTGAAGGGGCATCATACCGACTCCCATCGACGTGGAGGCTTGTTCACTCTTGTGAAGCTACTACACCCATACATAATGAGGCCCAGACTATTCGTAGCTCTACATTAGTTACGTCCCATCAAGGTGAGCAAACTAGCGTACCGGAGTGATGTCTCAGCGGTTCCCCCCTCCCTCCTCCCACTCGAGCCGAACAGCGTCTAGTTTATCTGTTGGTAAAACTGAGTAACACGATTGGCATTTATTATATTCATTCGAATGCATCACGTGTTCGAATTTCACTGTAAACTGCGCGATATTTTGGGCCCCTCCCCCTTTTTTAAGACGGCGGCGCCGGCAAAGTCACATGCAAGTACCATTGTTCGATGGTTGAAGTAGTTGTTTGGTGCCGTCCCCCCCACCTGTTTGACGGCTTGTAGGGGGGAGACTGGAGAAACAAACTAAAAAAGTTTTAAAAATTTTAGAGAATCGGTAGGGAGTTTTGAGAAGTTGGGAAGGTGGTAAAGAGGTACGAGATAAAAGCATTTCTCCCAATTCGATGGTCCATTGAAAGCAACAGATCCATCAAAAGCACTTCAAATAAAAGCACGCTACAGAAACGCGCAACACGCCACACTATAAGGCAGCGTTCAGATGTCGCCTCGACGCGCTGTAATCGCAGCATTGCTCCAAAAATATAGACGCGAACGCAGCCGCCGAC